CCCCGGCACCGTTAGGGCGCAAGCAGGCTCCGAGCGGCCCTCCGGCCTCGGCAGCCCCCGAACCGGCACGTGCCACAGCCTCTGCATTGGGCCAAAATATGCTCTAATTCGGCCCAATTTGGGTGCAGTGTGCCCGTTGCAGCGTGGGCAGGTTGTGCCATCATGTCCCCGGATAACCCCCGTGGTGTCATGGGCCTGGTGCGAGTGGCCCGGGTGTCCCCGTGGTCGGGAGGAGGGTGATGGTGACACCGGCAAGCAGGGCTGTGAGCGGCGCCTTGTAGCTGATCCCGCGCGTGGAGGTTGATGGGGTCAAGCGCCCAGCGCAGGGGTTTGACTTCCAGTGACGGCTCCACGGCTCCTTCCTTGGCGGATCAGAACACTGGATTTGGGGCTGGAAGTGTTTTCTGGATCCTCCGCCCTCTGTTCTCATCTAGTTTTCCATGAGGAAAAGGCTTGTCCTCAAAACCACGTCCCGGTGCTCCAGAGGCTGTAGCTTTACCACAGTGCTGAGCGCGAGACCAAGGGCTGCCCCCACTCTTGTGAGTCCTTAGCGGCTCAGAGGGCTTGGCAGCAATGAGACTAGCACAAGAAGCTCCTTGTGAGCCTGGCCTTGGAGCTCTTCCCTCCTTTATTGCCCTCATTTCCACCCTTTGTTGCAGAGGTGGCAAGACATGATCCAGGAGCTTATGAAGCTGCACTGGCTCTGTCAGCCTTACTGTAAATGTGACAGCAGGACTTCTTGGACCAGAACCCTCTTGTTCAGGAGAGCTGAACAAGCTGGCACCCAAAGAGCCCCTAATCCTGAGTGCCTTCACCCCGTGGGCAGTGTTATTGGCAGTGAGCCTTGTGTTTTAGTAGGCACCAGGGGTATCATCAGCGTTTTGGAGACATTTTGGGGTGGCTTATTGGGAGCGCCTGCCCAGTTTAGTAATGATGTGTGGCAGCTTTGTGTCCACCCTGTGAAAAAGGGCGGCTTCAAACACAGTAGCAAAAGCAGTAGCTAAACTGGTAACTTTTTATTTCACCTTTGGAATCAGTTTCAAAGGATTTCCTCTCATTCCTGTTTGTTTCACCAGGAGGGTTGCAAGAAGAGATCCTGCAGCTGGCACATTTGTGAATTCAGAAGGGTGGAGATTAAAAATGTCAAAAATTACTACCGAGCTGCTTTTGGAAAGAGCCGTTCCAAGATCTACTAGGCTGCGAAAGATCGAGACGCTGAAGTAAGTGCAAATAGGCCCATGGAAAATTCCAGCTGAATGGGCAATCCTTTTTGTCTTTGTTTTCTAAGTACTTTTACTGAAATAAGGGAGGCTCTTAAAAAACACAGACTAGGAGTTGCCATTCTCCATGCAGTACCAGTGGGCATTAGCTGAATTAGCAGCAGTTACCACCTCTCTTCACCATATATATTCCATATCTCTCTCCTTTTTTTCTGTAAAACTGTTAAAGTCTAGATTGTGATTTCCTCATCCTGAGAAAATTTACTGTGCCTGCCACTCCACTTCTGCTTTTGATTGCAGCTGCTTAATGTGAGTAGGAAAATCACTTTGGGTGTGGGTTTTAGAAGGTTTTTAAAAAGCTTTGGCATTATTTTCCTTCCTTTCTCCATCACTTTCCATCTGCTCTAAATCCAATACCTAGAATATGACTGTACAAGCACTGTAGAGAGGGAGAACAAGCTGTGATACATACAGAAATCTCTAAAAACCATCTTGTTGCTCAGATCCTTAATTGTGATTGTTGAAAAAAATATATCTTTACAAATGTTTAATACAGTGGAATTTTGTTATTCCAGAACTTGCCAATCTGAGTCACTGTGTTAGCCCAATTCTGGCTGGTGCCCTTGCAAGTTGTGTTTTTTCATACTTTGGAGCTTTTCTTTTTGTCTTATGATAAGATGCTGTTCTTAGAGAGAAACTCAAAAGTTCATCTGAGGAGTGGTATTGCAGTAATCTGGGTGACAAAGTGATGTTGATGTGTTTGAACTAGTGAAATTCTACGGTTTTCCCCTTGTGCTTAATACCATGATTTTGAAGATTCATATTTCTAAAAGGCCCATTTGGGGAATATTGTGTTGCGTTTCTCTCAAACTTTGTCCCTGTCCCAATTCCAAATGGTTCACGCTTGAAACCAGAATGACACAGGAGTCACGGTCAGCCTTGCAGCCAGCTGAATTGCAATCAACCTTTCTTATGCATTTTGATCAACTACTTGGGCTTCTGAAATGACAGGTGAATGAGAAGCGATCCCGCTTCTTAAATTCATCTCTTTTTTCACATTTCAGTTGCAGGTCTTTTAACCTTCTTTTGCTAATCATAGTAGATAGAGATTCTGTTTATTAAAGAAATTCAGGCTTACATCCTCAGAGGTGTTAGCTCTCAGGACTGGATGTTTCCTCTGGAGCTCAACTGGAGCCCAGAGGGCCCATTCTAGACTCTAGACAGATCTAAATGAACCTCATTCTTATAATACATAATTTTCAATTTCTCACGAGAGATTATATTTTTTTTCACCTCACAAGTATTTTACATCTTCCTCTTCCAGGACAGAATGCTTCTGTTTTGTTGGTGGCAGCATTGTGAATTTTAGGTATATTTGTATTTTTACCAGTGGAAGATTTTATAGCCAATTTTTCTGTAAAATAAACGTGAACATCACCCTTTTCTTGAAGTTAGTTTTTAGAAAACAGCTGGATGTTTTGGGAAGCTAGTTTGCCTTTGGATTGATTTTAACCTTAATGCAGAAAAAAAAAATACTGATCCAGATCCACAAAGTGATTGGACTTTCCACAAAGCTTTGTAAATGCCAGTGGCTGCAAAAAGGAGAGAATGGGCCTGGCCTTTTTGGAAGATGTGTAGTCTTTGCTTCCATCAGTTATGATGCAAATGATGAATCTTATGGACTCTATGGACAGGATAGATTGATTCTGTAGTGGAAAAGAAAAAAGGGGGGTGGGATTGTCTGGTATTGCCACAGCTGATTTGGTTGAATTTACATTGCAAAGAAAAAACGGATCAAAACTCCAGGAGGTGTCAGAGATTTTTCTAGAACAAGAACTTTTCTAGTGATGCACTGCTCACAACTAACTCAGTTATCCGTAGGAGATCTATCTCAATTTCAGGATATTTCTACATTAAATAATCTAGTAGACTTAATCTCTGCGTTTATCATCCCCGGTGCAGCAACTTCTCCAATTATGTGTGCTTGAAGTAGGGAATAATGCAAACCAAAAAAGAACCAGTGAGTAAGGCGAAGCTGAGAAGTGCTGCAAGGTGGTGGGACCTCTTATCCCACTTGTTTTTCCAGCAAACTGCAGACAATTCCTGATCTCTATTTTTTTCAGCCTATCCAAGCTACAGCTGAAGACCGGAGACTTAGACCCACGGTTGTTTTCCCGTCTGAGGCATTTGCAGAAACTTGATCTCTCCGATAATTTATTGGATAAATTTCCCAACAGTCTAACCCTGCCTGATCTGCGCGTCCTAAACTGCAACAACAACCAACTGGAAGATGTAACTGCTCTGAAACAGTTCCCCCTGCTCGAGGAGCTAACCTATGAGAACAACGTGTATCTCACAGTGAGTTACTTCCCATCCTTACACACTGAGTATTAAATAGAGTGAGAAATAAATAGCAATTATGCTTAGTTCTTAATCAACAAGTATTAGGACATCTCAAAAAGTAGTTAGTCTTTTTATTCCCCTATTACAGATTTGGAAATTATGGTGCAAATTGGTGACTTGCCAAAAAATGCTCAGAGATTGAAATCTATGTGTCTGAATCTGCAGATTCTCCAGGCCAGGGTCCCATCTTGGGCAGCTTCTCAAGCAAAATACCTTACCTTCATACTTGTATAAAATTTAGGGATATAAATTTAGGGATATAATATATAACAACAACTGTGTAGAAATGTCTGCCTAGTCCTTCTGCCTGTTCCTAAAGTCTGCTCTGGAAAAGCAGGCTTGGTCTTCTGCTGAAAGGTTGAATTTAGGATTATTTTAATTTATTTTAAGATTGGAGATTATTCTAATTTAGGTTTTCCAGCTTGTCTGTTGACTGTATGGGGACCTGAGACTCTCAATGTAGGTGTCTGAAGCTAATTTGCTACATGCTTCAGGTGGCGTAAGCCACTACTGTTGTCCCCAAGTGTTGTTCACTGTTGTGTGCTGGCACAAACATCTGTGTGACTTCATGTTGAACCAGGCTGGTGAATATTTCTGCCCCAAAACTTCTCGGGCTGTCAAACCCTGCTGGTATTCACCTGCTTTACCCCGAGCAGGCCTTCCTCTGGGTTAGATGCTCAAAGTAAGAAGATGTGAATGGGATTCCCCACGTTGCACTCGGACAGGAGCAGAGCAGCCTAGTTCCACCGCTGCCACCTCGTGCTGGATATTAGTACTGCGTGAGTTGGGGTGGAGTTTATGTCTGCACAGATAAAGGTCCCAACTTCGAGGAGAATTTTAAATTTACAAGTAACAGATGATATTTCAGTTGGAAGTCCTGAGAGGATTTTATGAAGTGCCCTTTCCTGAATAAATACATTCTGGTCTTTCTTGGTTATATTTGAATAAAGAACACATATCTGTAGTTAAAGCATGTGCTGTGTGTACAATTTTCATAAATTCATCTCTTTCCAGACTAATGATGACTATAAAGTGATGTTTCTTTTGCAAAATCTCCGGCTACTCAACGGCAAGGATATAACCAAATTGGCTAATCATGTGAGGCATGTCAATAGTCGTAAGCTCACCAGCAAGGTAAGATTAATGGTATTTTTTTTTTATGTGTAAATGTCTGACAAATAACTACATACAGGACTGTGTTAGGTTCAATGACAGGGTGGCACATAGGCATTGAACAGTTATGATAACGCTGGTACAATCTGAGCACAATTTGGGCCACCTAATAAAAGCCTCATTACTGATTTCTCTGCTCACTGCTGCAAAGGTCTTAGTGAGGGTTGCTCAGCCTCTCATCCTCCAGGCAATAGGGCATGGGTGACTGCTGGAATTCACAGTTATGAGACTCAGAATATTCCCTTGTGCTGTTTAGTTTGTGCTGGTGCTTGTGCCTCAAATGCCTTTGAACAGATTTGAATGACCAAACAAAAGGAAGCAATGCCACTATGTAGATAATGAAATTTTGGCATTGACAACTTCTTAAA